GGGGAGGGAGGAACACGCAACGTCACGACAGCTAATTCTGAATCTCATTATTGGAAACTCGTTTAAGAGCTAGGGACTGATTAATACGTTTTGGCGTAGTAGTTGGTTGTTAGTTACCATTTTTTCCAACAGTATTTGATTCAGTGGTTGGCTTTTTTGACAGTTAGTAAATTACTTATTTCGTTACTAGTTGTTAGTTAATCAATAACTTTCATATTTTGATAACGGATTAATTACTTAGTTACACACCTTGATAGTTAGTTTGGGGGATACTGAGTTGCTTGTTTAGTTTTGGTAGTTAAAAAAAATATAGTTTGCTAGATCGTTTTGACCGTGTTTATTAATGTCAAAAGTACATAAATGATTTAGTTGGTTTGATAAAGGATAACTATGAAGTGTTTTTGGATTGTTTAACATTTGCTTTTGGCACATTGTTTAACTCAGTTGACCTCTTTCTGGATTGCGATGCGCATGTAGAGGTTCGAATCCCTGGCGGGCCGTCTCTGAATTTGAATTGTTTCGAGAGGTATCAAGGCTGTTTGCCTCTTTGTGGAGATGAATCTTATCTTATCTTATCTTATCTTATCTTATCTTATCTTATCTTATCTTATCTTATCTTATCTTATCTTATCTTATCTTTGCTTATCTTATCTTATGAGGGGGAAAAACCTTGTCAGTACTTTGTGAACCCTTGATTTTTTTAAAAGCCAAGGTTCCCAAATCTCAACACTAAGATAGAAGGAATCCGTTTTCCATCAGGATCGACACAATGAAAATTAAAGTTATGGCTGCCTTTTTATGGACTTTTTCTGACAGGAAAGTCTAAGAAATCTAAACTATCCTGTCACATCTGCGATCACATTTCGCCACTCCTTAAACTGCCCGGACTCTCCGAAAAAACTAAACTGGTATTTCACCCATCTGACCGCATTATCTAAATAAGTGATCCTTGGTCTTCTTGTACCTATTTTGGAAAGAAAATTAATGCAGACATAAAAATTCCCTAATAACAAAAGATTTAAGGTTAAGGTATCGAACTATCATACTCCAGCATTTGACAGTTGGAAGTAATAGTGTATAGTGTTGATAACGTTGGCGTAAAAGAATGTGGGACAAGTCGTAGACCAATACAAAATTGTCACAAATTAGCCAGTGATAATGTGTATTTACACATCAAACGATTTGTAAAACCCAGAAACAATTGATAGATAGATAGATAGATAGATAGATAGATAGATAGATAGATAGATAGATAGATAAACATATTTTAGATAGATTGATGGCTTCAATGTAAAAGCAGTTCGTGTAAGAAGATGTCCCAAACTTATCAGTAGTGATTGATATTGATACTTCGGATGACGTGAGGGACCCAGAAAAAATTGAGCTACACTTAAACATCTCCCCTCCTAACTATCAACATCTGTTAAAAATATTGCAGATTTTTTGTGTGCATGGTTTATATTAATGTTTGATATCTAAGTTAAGTTCATTTCTGAAGGTCCCATGCGTCTGGGAGCAGGAATCTGTACAAGGCTTTTGGTTGTTTTTTTAGGGTTGTTATTGGTTTAAGTTGTCATTTAAGTCGGAGTTTTAATCCCCTTCTCCAATGCAGTTCAAAGTTTTAAAATTCAACCCAAGAAAAACCAGATTTTTCAATATAAATTTAAAAAATCAATTGATTTGTTCGAAAAATATCAATGAAAACCCCCCAACAATTTTAGAAACAAAACTGATCAAAACATTACACTTAACAAATTAAAAAAATTAAATATAGCTTGTTACGTGCTTTAAAGAATACATCTATCCAAAAGTGATATACCCATCCAAAACAGTATGTCGAAAAGATCACCCATTCGAAGCGCAATCTTTCCCATTGTAGCTCTTGGAAGACAGGCAAAGCCTATGTAAATAAACATAAACAATCCATGGGTTGAAACCCATTGTCCAAAGAATTGACCGAGAAACATGCTAGTCTTGAAGTCTTGTTCGAAATTTTCAACGGTGTATTAAGAGTATTCCTGCTTGTTTGGGAAGAAATGATCCACACTTGGAGCATACGTACTTTCCCCGTTTAGTCGTATCAGTTTCAAACTAAGCTGTTCCTTAATTAATACGCAAATACACAACATGGTTGATTGTTTAGAAGTTGTAAACGTATGCATTTTATTTAGTTTGGTTGAAATTTTGAAAAAGAAATGAGACCCCCCCAACCCCCCCCCCCCAAAAAAAAACAACAACAACAAACAAACAACAACAAACAAACCAACCCAACAAAAACATCAACAACAAGCAAACCAAACAAGCAACAAAACAAGAAACACAACTTGATACATGTATTTTTCGAACCCACAAGCCGATTTTATTCATTAAAAATCATACTTGTTAGGTGAATTCTTTGAGAGAGAGAAAGAGAGAGAAATAGAGAGAGAGAGAGAGAGAGAGAGAGAGAGAGAGAGAGAGAGAGAGAGAGAGAGAGAGAGAGACAGAGACAGAGAGAGAGAGAGAGAGAGAGAGAGAGAGAGAGAGAGAGAGAGAGAGAGAGAGAAAAGGGTGGGTGGGAGGGGGCAGCATGATGTGTTTAAATTGGTGCAAAGATGACATAGTCATTGAACTTTGCATGGATAATCTTTTTTCAAACAATGTATGTCATTGTATGTTTTAAGCTGGGAGAGGGGAAGCTCACATTCCAGTATACAGTTTCTTATAAGGATTGGATGGATGCTTGCTCAGTAGGCATGACAAATTAGCGCAAGCCTTCGGCGCAACCATATTATGCGTAAGTTTATGTGAGAATGCCTATGAGCGCGAGGTGCGTCATATGTGTGTGTGTGTGTGTGTGTGTGTGTGTGTGTGTGTGTGTGTGTGTGTGTGTGTGTGTGTGTGTGTGTGTGTGTGTGTGTGCGTGGGTGCCCTTGTTTGTGTGGACGAGTGCGCGTGTGTACACGTGTGTACACGTGTGCATGCGTACGTGTATGTGTATTATCTATACTCCCGGGATGTTTGCACACGCAAGTGGTTGCAAACGTCACTACACTAGTTTTATTACTAATCACACCGACATGAGATTAAAGTCACACGTAAGTCCAAGCCTTCCCTCTCCCTCGCCCCTCTCCCAACCCCTTCCCCATTTTTTCCCTAGCAAAAAAAAAAATAAATCCCCAGGAGGCCAGGGCAATTCGATGTTTGGATGTTCTCACCCTTAAGACTGTGGTGACATTCAAATTCAGCCCCGGAACACGTACGTAAAACACAGGGTTAAGACTATGACGTCACGCGGAGGAATACACCACTTGTAAACCGTCGTTTAGCCAACGTACACAGTGATCGCTGTTTCAAAGCGGAAGTTAATTGTTGAGCGGAAAAAAAGCCTTTGAGTGTCCCGTCAGAATCTGTTTTGCCGTTGGTTAGGGACACATAGGGATAGGCACACGGGGAACATTTATAATAGTATTACCAGGTGGATAAATAATACTCTCGTAGATCTGGGCATCTATTTTTTCTGGACAGTGTCTTTAGTCAAAACGTCTCACGTATTACGAATTAAACACAATAAAAAAGATTTCGCAGTTTATTACCTTGTCGAGAACGTTGAACAATTTTGAAGACATTTACGAAAAGCTAGGCGTGTATCTTGTGCTGTCCAGAGAATACACAACTTGTGCGCGGTATTGTTTTTCATCGGACGTTTCATATCAGACCCACAGCTTGAACGTTTACATTTCTTACAATGGCATTTACTGGCCAGGGACTGTCTGTCAACTTCAAGACAACAGGAGGAATTGGGCTTTACATCTGTAAGCAATTAGATTATAATTTTCATTGTGCTTGTCTGTTTGTATGTGTCTATCTGTAATTAATTCTGCCCATGTTTTTGTCCATCTGTTAATATTTGTCGGTCTCATTCTTTCTGCCTATCTTTCTGTCTGTCTCTTTGTATGTGTCTGTTTTGTTTCTGTCTGTCTGTCTGTCTGTCTGTCTGTCTGTCTGTCTGTCTGTCTGTCTGTCT